TTTAAGAGTTTAAGAGTTTTAAGAGTTTAAGAGTTTTTAAGAGTTTTAGCCAAATGTTTTATAATATAGTATAGATAATTGGAATATAAAATCTTTATTGTACATCTGTTAAATATATTTGGTATCAATTTTTTTGAATTGATACATGTTGATATTGATTTTCTATCAACTTTAAGTTACATATACGAAAACTTGTCATTTAAAATTTGAGTGATATTTTAAGTTTCTAGGTAACAAATGTGATCTTTTAAGTGTTTTTAAGTACAAAGAATAAAACTTACAAATGTTCAAACAAAATATTTAAGTTGCAATGGTTAATATTTAACTAGTTGTGTACCCGTAAGGTAAACGATTTTGAAGCTTTAGTGGTCTTGTTAGAGAAGATTTGATACGAAAACGTTGACCCCAAGTTAATTAACGTAGAACCTTCGTATGAGATAGATTAGGCAACAAATATCTCAGGTATAGGATTCTTCAACTAACTTAGAGCAATCCTTGACCGTTAGTTAGGAAACTAAGAACCAAATGAATCTAGAACGCCACAAGATCATGCTCACAATCTTGATAAGTTCTTGAACTACGAACGCTCTTGCAAGAAATTACAACTCAAAAATGAGTTAAAGTAAATAATAAAGTGTTTATAATTCAAGGATGATGATGCAAATGATTACAAATGACTCCTATTTATAGAGTTCTAAAGACACTCTAAAAGACTTTCTTTAAAAGTTGGGACTTAAATTTCAATCAAGAATTAAAGGCATATCTCTAATTGATGAATCTAGACATGTTTTACATCCTTATTCAAAGACTTTTGGTCACCTAAACTTTAAGATAGGCCAAAAAACGGATTGGGATTTCTTTTCAAGTTTATTGGGTTCAAATAGAACTTAGGACAAAAGAAATGGTTCAATTTGGGCTCCAAAATAATGGTTAACGATTTTATTCTTTGAAGTGGCCCAAAAACTTGCAATCTTCAACACAAATGTTTCTTTTAAACTCCTTCGTTGATCCAAAAATCCAATAAGCATAATATCATATGTTACATGCAAATCTGTATTGGACTTCAATGCATTTGCTTGAATTTTTGCAACTAAGCTCATCAACATTTCCTTGATCAGTTTCGATCTTGATCTTGTAATTGGGTCATCTTGAATTTCAAGGGATCTTTCGACGCTGGTTGGGTGGTCTTCATCATTCTCTCCCCCTTGGAAATGATTCGTCCGCGAATCACTACCTACATCATAAGGAGAAAGATCAACAACATTAAAAGTAGAGCTTACTTGATACGCACCAGGAAGATCTAGCTTGTAAGCATTATCATTGATCCTTTGGATGACTTGGAATGGTCAGGTCCTCTAGGCTGCAACTTTGATCTTCTCTTTGTCGGAAACCATTCTTTCCTCAAGTGCAACCATACCCAATCTCCGAGTTCAAACACAACTCTCTTCATGCCTCTGTTTGCTTGTTTCATGTATTGATTTCTCTTCTCAATGTTGAGTCTTACCTTCTTATGCAATTGTTTCACTAATTCAACATTCCTTTTCTCCATCTAGATTAGTACGCTCTTCAATAGGAATAGGAACAAGATAAAGGAGACTCAATGGATTGAAGCCATACACAATATCAAACGGAGAATAGCTAGTAGAAAAATGCACACTTCAATTATAAGCGAACTCAACAAATGGCAAGTAACTCTCTCAACTCTTCGAGTTCTTTGAAATAGCAGCTCTAAGTAATTGAGACAAAGTTCTATTAACTACTTCAGTTTGTCCTTCAGTTTGCGGATGATTTGCATTAGAGAATAAAAGCTTAGTACCCAGTTTACTCCAAAGCACACGTGACAGGCTAGGATCGTTCTTGTTCACCCAGTGGGCACTAAGTCCCCATAGTGGCGGTGCAAGTGCACGCCGACACTATGATCGCTTGCAAGTAATAAAGTGATAAAAAGTACCGAGATCGTTCCACAAGGAAGTGACTACTGAGATTCAGAGACTTTTCATGAACTTCTTGCACAAGTTTTGAGTTGTAAATAAAAGTTGGATTTTTGTTTATAAAAAGACTGAAAGAGGACCGAACTAGCCAAAAAGTAAAAGAGTTGTTTAACAATAAAATGGTTAGACTTTTATGAGTTGTTTATAAAAATTCCAATCTCTCGATAAAATTAACAATAAAATGGTTAGACTTTTATGAGTTGTTTATAAAAATTCCAATCTCTCGAAAGTGAACTTTTACAACCGGGTCTCATAAAATTCCATAAGGTTTTTACTTTTACCACTTCGAGACTTGCCGATATAGCCAAAAAGTAAAAGAAATACGATTCTTACCTAAATCCCTTTTGTGATAAGAATACCCATCGCTTAACCCCTAGCTAGATGCATACAAAATTCACGTCTCCACGTAATTATCAAAGACTCTCTCGAGTTCTTTGTGCATCACGTAAGCCGTATTTCAGATCCGCCCATCTCTGGGTCTAAGATCTAATATTAACACTTCAAAGTGAGCGGCTTATCCGCGTCGAGTTTAAATCCCGTCTTAAGTGACCAAGTTACGAAGTGATAAAAGATAAAAACACTCAAATATTATATAAACATCATAAGTTAAACTCACACCCACACCCATATGAGTAATTTAGCTAGACATAAATAAAAGTAATATAAGATTAAATAATACTGAAATATAAATTACATTAATATAAAACTAAATTACAAGTACAAAGAAATAAAATACTAAATTACAACTAAAAATTAAAGAGGTTAATTAAAAGCTTAAAATAAAGAGAGAAATAAGAGATAAGTGAGACACTAAAGGGTATTGTGTCTTGCATAGTTGGTCTCTTCAAAAGAGCTCCCAAAGCCTCCTTTTATAGGGGGAGAAAGGGAGAAATGACAACCAATGATTATCCCAAGGGTAATTAGTACAAAACATCTAAAATAAAAAATAAAATAAAAAAAGGTTACAGCAAAACAGCTCATATACAGCTGGAGAAAATATTTGGATGATTCTTCAAGCTAC